ACACACATCCCTCTGCTTTTTCCAGATTGTTAACCAGCTCTATATCTATCTAAATTAGAGTTCCAGCTATTCACGTAAAATATATTATGTGAAAAAGCTAATTGTAGACTCATGAAACTCTGTTCTTTGTGATGATTACGCAGCTTCACTTAGAATTTATAGCACCTCTTAGATTTGAAGGCATTAATTCAAACAGTACAGAAAACAGTCTCCCAAGCCATCCTGTCAAATAATCCAGAGATACACACAGTTGACATATCAATTAGTTGAGTTAATCAGCTATTTTGATACCTGAACAACCGTTTAAACAGATTCTCATATGAGGATTTGATGTTTTTCTTTGTTGTACACTATAGTGATCAAAATATCTTTGTCATCTTTGTTTTGCACAAAACAAAACATCTGAAGATGGCACTTTGGGCTGTGAGAAGTTATAATGAGCATTTTTCTCTATTCTCTAACATTTTATAGACAAAACAATTAATTATAAGCTACATATCGTTACTTCATGTTTAGTTTTTAATGTCCTTCCGCAACACTGTCATGCTCAGTATTTAAATAAGAATCTATATTTCAAAGAAGGAAATGACAAACATGAGCTCTTCGCTTTCAGTCAGTAACAAACTTGTCATCTCATTTTAACCCCTGAGATATAACTGCAGTAAAATGCTGTAAAGAGGTCAACTGGTGTAGTTTCATAGAAAGCCAAAAAGCAGGAGCGGAAAGCATGACTTCAAAACTGTGAATCTCTCATTCCACAAAAACCCACCTCTCCCAGGGGACTCAGCAGAAGAAGTTCATACTACTGTTCACAACATATATAGTGTGAATGAATAATGAATAAACAGACAACTTTTCTTCTGTAACTACCGTTTGTGACTTCGCACAATTTATGTTGCTTTTATCACCAAAGGAGAATTGATTATTATGAAGCAGTCTGGGTCAGTAGGTCTGCCATCTGACAAAAAAGTGCTTGCTGGGCTTGATGTAGAGTTTTGAATTACAACCAAACAATTTTCTGCAGCTGTACTTCAGCTTTTATAAACACACACACACACACACACACACACTGGACAATGGCTTGACGCCAAATCGCTCATTCTGACCTTCTTTTCCACCCCACAGCTGCTGCCAAGTTTGAGTCCATCTCTCTCTTTCTTGCTCTACCACACTGACACAGAGAGCACTCTGGCAGCCAATCAGAGTAGAGTCTTTCTCAAGCCAGGGGATCTGTCTGGTTACCATCCACCAGGGAATATTTCACTTTAACTATGAAGCAGCAGTAAATAATCACACTTGGGGCAAGCTTTACCCTGCAGTAAACCTCTCATTTCAGCTCATTACTGGTTTATCACAGTAAAACACATTAAGCCCCCCACCAAGGTTGTCTATCTGTCCGCTGCTAACTCCTGCCAGCAGAAATATGAAGACTCGGAGCAGTTCCCTCTAACTTAATTTGGACCTTGACACAGACATCCTTTGTTTTTAACCCTGTGGGCGATCAACAGGGAAGAGAGCGACTGTCAGCAAACACAGATTGGCCTGGACACCAGTTGGTTGTAAGGGCAAACTCAATGACCTCCCTATCGGCACTCACAAAAACACCAAGAGGGGGAAGCCGCCTGAACAGGAATGGAGTGTCAAAAAAAGTTTAATTTTCCTAAACAGAGCATGTCTCGATCAAACCAGTGAAGGCCGGCCAGGAACAACAGCGAAGTAGGGGAGGACGGAGTGAGACAACGAGGTTGAAGTAAAAATCTAAAACGATGCCACACTGCAAGGAAAGCCATCTAGAAACAAGACACACAGCTGAAACACATGTCCACACTTATCAGGCAGCGCAGACATTTGTCTTCCTCTGTACCCATTCAACACAAGAAAACCACCACAGATCCCAAACTAAAGACGACCATTGTGGCTTTGTAGAGCAAGGATCTGACCAAACATAATTTTGCTCAATTTTACTTTTAGTTGGTAAATAAGTAAAAGTTGAAGGGTCACAGGTTGCACTAGATCTAGAAAGCTGGAAAACTAATTAATTACCAAATCCAGAAATTAACTCAGCTAGTTAAGTGGTTCCCTCCTGATGGAAAATTTGTCCAAGTGGTTTTATGCACAGCCATCTGAAAAGATTTGCTACAAGCTGAAACACAATACTGCTATTATGTATTAACCATAAATCAATATATTAAATTCAATCTTGGCTTTTTAGAAAATTCTTCATGAAAAGTACTGATTTTAAGCGTTATAACGTAACAAACTACTAATTTTAATATTTAATCAGATTCTTACAACCTGACCAATCTGCAGTGACAGATTCAATATTCACAGGCTGATAACTGTCAAAACAAATGCACTGCAGCACCCTGGGGACAACTGTCCTCATTCAAGTTGATCAAATTCCACCCAGTGTCCAATTTTACGAACAGCTCCTCCTGTCTTTGAGCTTTCTACAAACCTCTAACGTTAACGTTACTCCCTCGCTCCTTTTGTTGTTTGCTAACGTTTTAGTAACAAGAGACCATGTGTGCTGCTTTCAATCACGTCGTCCTCAGAAAAAACAAACATATTGCCTTGATATCTCGTAAATCTATTAATTATGCAGTCGCATTACACCACTAAGTTAAATAAACCATTTACGCTGCAAAACGCAAGGCGCCGTATTCAATTACCTCATAATAAATCAGAGTTACTATCAGCGCTAGCTTTAATTATTTACACAATTAACTTAAGTAAACGTTAGTTAGCAGATAGAGCAACATATTTTATAAATAGAGGTGCTTATTGTTATAGTACACCGGCATGACAAGGCCAGGGACTCTGGTACAGCCAGGCTGCCTTGTTGCTGTAATGTTGACCGTGGCTAATCTAGTTAGCTGTCGCTAGCTAGCTCGTTAGCACAATCGAGCTAACGTTAGCAGCAGCAGCAATCTCAGTGACAGAGGGCGGACGGATATTCACGTTGCACTGAACAAAACACCCCGGCTAACTACCGTTATATCGTTATCTATATCCCCACACCGATCATACAACCAGGTCCAGTAACTGTTTGATAGTGCTTCTGCGATATTAAACCTAGGAAACGGGCTAGTATTTTACAAGCTAACCATTTTGCGCCGCAGGACCAGGTCAACCAGCGCTGTGAATCGGGACACGGCTGCCGAGAACACAGGCGGGCAAGGCGGGCTGCGCTCCACCTATTAGCGCTGGAAACCTGGCTGCTCCGTGGACACATCCCGGGTTACACATCGTTTTTAGCAGCAGCACCTAAAAATATTGCCGCGTTTCAATAAAAAGCGTCCGCTTATTTGTGCATTTTCTTACCTGTTACGGTGAACTGTGATCAATCGTGTCCTCTTCTGCAGCTCTCTTCCCCCTCCTAGCTCCAAAATGGCGCCAATATGTATAGATTCAGTGCCCGTGGGTGAAAGCCATCACTGAGGGTGTAGCGCCACCTATAGAGCGAGACCATGTAGGTCTGGTGGGTCCTTCGAGTGATGCTCGTATTACTCTGCGATGCATGAAAAATACATGGCAGAGAATGGATAGTTTGATATTGAGGGAGAATTACATAGGCTACCATAGTTTTCTTTTTTGTAGAATTTACAGCGTGTTTTTTTTTTTTTTTTACCAAATGTTATATCATATAATGTGTGTGAATATATCCTAGTAAAATTTTAGTAAATTCAGCAATGCAGTCAGACAGTTGCAAATTATGGATAAAACAAAGTGCATTACTTAATGTTAAAATGATTCATGTAAAAACATTAGACTATAGCCTTCACTTTATACAGACACTGAACAGACACTGAGAATACCAAACAAGCAAGTCCTGCATCACGAAGTGTCATTTTGACAGCTGCCTTCACTGCTTTGTTGGGTTCTGTTCTTTCGCTCAGTACTTGAACGCACCAACAGTGTGTGTTTCAAATGAGCTTTTTTTTTTTTTTTTTTGTGTGAGATAATGAGCTCATAAATGAGACAGGGAGACAATAAACACAATGTTCTCATTAGGGTGACATTCATGTTTCTTCAGCGTATACTTTATTTACAACCCATAATCCACAGCCTCTTCCTAATAGTGCTATTCATATTTAAAGATTTGTCTGCCAATAAAAGGGCATTTTATAAAGTCAGTCTACTCAAGCAGTCTTTTATCGGCTACATCTCAGGCTACCATGGAGCCATTCATTTTCCCCTTTCCTGCTAACCTAGTGTCATATGACACTTTTAGAGGAAAATCTTTTCCTCCTTCATACAGGTGCATTTACTTGTCCCTTTACGCAGAGTTGCTTGCTTTCTTGATTCTTCTGTGAATTTAAACTGCTACAAAGGTCATTGCCATACTAGTTTACAGAACATGATTTCCCAAAGATCAGCTAGTTGCTCGGGTCTCTGGCCAATATGAACTATAGGGGGAGCTCCAATATAACGTTTCAGATGTTGCACTATAATCTAAAAGCACTACTCTGCAGAACAATAGAAATACATTCATATTTAGCACAATCAGCGAGTAAATGTGTTGAAACCTTGAAAGCACATGTAGTTAAAATTGTTTATAGTGCAGGTAAATAGGCAGATTGCCTCTTTTTGAACTGCTGCTCTTAATTAAATGAGAGCTTGGTGAATCTTAATATCATTTCCCTAACAAATATCAATAACCGTGAACATCTGACTAAAACCATGCGAATTAAATCCTATTATTTGAAATTACAATAATTTTTAGTAGGCTATTACTGAATCGTACCATTTAAGACATTAGCAGTAATTCTATAAGAGGACCGTGGCTCTGATTGTGTAATAGATCCTGAGCTTGTCATGTCTCTGTGGTAGTGAGTGACGTTACTGGTTATTTTCTGTGGGAACACAATATCATCCTTAAAGCTGAGCTCTAAATTAGAGCTCGCGCGCCCCTGTTCTCAATCAACCAATTAGTGCTGCAAGAAGGCAACTGTTTAAATCCCAGCAGGATAAACTTGGACCGGTTTCATGGCTCCAGGATGGATGGGTTCCTGCCCACGTTTCCACAATACAATGTCTGCGCTCCCCCGGCTCAAGACAGCAGCTGGGTAAAGAGAGAGGGCCGCTTCATGATCCCCCAGGGTCTCAACTACCTGGAGCTCTGCAAGGTGATCCTGTCTCAAGTCAGCCCCAGTTTGCCCCCGCCGCTCAAGAGAGAAAACACCAGAGAGTGCGGCGTGCAGGTCAATGCCAAGGTGGATAAAATCGTCCAGTGCTCGCTTGGTCCCAAGACACTGTTCTGCTTGGAGGGCGACCACTCCGCGTCCTCGAAGCCCCCCAACAGCCCGGATCTGTTGAAGCCGGACCTGAAGGCTGTGTACAACACACCGCCGGTGAACAACCTGCGCTTCCTGAGGCCCGTTTCCATCTACTCGCCGGTGTTTGACCGCAGGATCTTCATGAAGAAACTCTGCGGTGACGGTGAAAGTGAAGGAGCAGCTCAGGCCGAGTCTGACAATAATGCTGAGACGGATCAAAGCGGCGAGGACACGGTGAAGGACTTCAAGACGACCTTCCACCGGTCTTCAAAGGGGTCCAACTTTCAGGTGGGTTTCTGCGTCGAGAAACCCCGAAGGGAACGAGCTCTCCCTGGATTCACACATTTCCACTGCTAACTACTCCTACATTACAAATTAGAAACCTAAGAAGCTGCTGGCTGCAAGCCCCCCTTTCCTCCGACTCTCAGTGCTTTGTGTACACTGGAATGCTTCCAGGGCCTAGACATGCTGTGTGGTAATTTAAAACATTAACCTAGAAAGTTGCATAACATACGCAAAAAACTGAAATAATGAAGGTCTTAAAATGAGATTTGATACAACACATGCAAGGCTTCAACAACCTCACCTTAATAAGGCCCCTGTCATGTTGAGTCAGTATGGGATATAGCCTAGTGCTGGATCTAAATACACTTAATTATAACAAGGCGAGGAAAAAACTTGAGCAATGTAAAGTTACTTATAGGATTTAAGAGGGTTAAAATAAAATGGGAGACCAGAATAAACTAAAATGCTTTAAAACAGAATAAACTGCAGAATTAGTTTGCAGTACAAGAACTGAATGGATAGATTTCATTAAAGGCACACAAAACCTGGAGACTACTGTGGAAACTTTGGGACTTTCAGGCACTAGCGTTTGTTTTCTGCACAACACACCTGTGTGAAGTGTCTCTGCACTCAAATGATTTCGATGAGTTTTTTTTTTTTTAGTTCCTAGAGCAGAGGTATGGCTTTTTCCACTGCAAAAAGTGTAACATCCGGTGGGAGAGTGCTTATGTGTGGTGCATCTCTGGAACCAGTAAGGTAAGTGGTCTTGTTGTTTACTGCAATATCTGGTTTAGCATGAACTAATTTATATTCTGCAAAAACTGCATTCATAGTAAGAATTCAGATATCTTTTTATACTTTGCCAGGTGTACTACAAGCAGCTCTGCCGGAAGTGTCAGGTGGGATTTAATCCCTACAGAGTGGAGTCCATCCTCTGCAAGGTATATTTACTAAAGAACTGCAGTAACATGATTGAATCACAGTGTGATTTGGTGCTTTCCAGTTGTCCCCAAACATTACACCTAATGTTGATGATTAGATATAAGTGCATGGTTTTAATAACCAGGTAAACTTGGTTTGTTTTTAGTTTCTTTAAAACTGTGGCATCCTTCAACAGGGGTCAGAAACCTCCTCTGATCTTACAGTTTCCTCCCCTCTGTACCAGGGTTGCTCTCAGACTTGCTGCAGCTGCGAGAAGAAGCAGCGGCACATTAACATGAAGAGGCCTCACCGCCAGGACCTGTGTTGTCGTTGCAAGGGCACGAAGCTGTCCTGTGATGCCACCTACAGCTTCAAATACATTGTCTGAGCTGCCCTGCACGTTGGCTCCGGTCTGGAATCACACATTCCTCAAGGCTCATCTGATGGCGCTTGCCTTCACCCCGTGGCAGCAGACATCTAGTACCTGGATGTCTCAAATGGAAGTTGCCTCCAGTAATGTACTTGGAGAGTCCCTTATTCTCCTACCAGCGAGTAGATGAATCTCTGCCTTGGTTGTTTATTTGAGCAGCGTCTCAAAGTCTGTCCCTTCATTAATCACGGTGCTTAACTAAACATTAAAAAATATTTTTGTATAAAGAAATAAAGCTTATGAAATAAACACATTGCATCTCAAAAGTTCGAAAAATTATTGTAGTTGAATATGCGCTCGTTCATTTAAAACCTTGACCTTCAGAACGTGGCACAATCTTTCAGAGCTTCCAGTAGCTCAGTTTGGTTTGACTGGTGCTGCTTGAAACTTTCAGCATCATCTAATTGGCAAAACAAATGGTCTTTACTAAGAAATTATATTCAGCACTTTAGTTTCAATAATAAGCATAAAGGTCAGTGGAGGCTAAACACAAGATGTTCAATGCTTACAAATGAGTTTCTAAATTTTAAATTGGTATGTTAATGCAGAGCCAATCTTTAAGTGTGTGAGGGGATTTTAAGTGAAACAAGAGATACTTTTAATGTCTTTTACTTTGACACTAACTTGTACAGAGTATCAACTCAAAACAACTTCACAAAGGCTGTAAAAGTATTTACAAGGGGGGGGGAACTACAGTCTTGATCTAAAAAGCTTTAAAAATGTGCAATTTCTTGTTTGGCATGCACACAAACATTCTCCCACACAAAGGAAAAGAAAATACATACCCGCATGAGCTTAAAGCTCCCTTTTGTACACCAAACAAACACATCTTTCAGATAAAATATGATTTTGTTAATAAATATTTCAAACACTCCATACAGTACACAGAAGATGCATGCATGGCAGTTTGATTTGAGAGAACATCAATATAAAACCTAAGTCAAATGAGTGTTGATTTTATAGCTGATCAGATATAAATAGGAAAAAGATATTTGTACAGCAAACAACTTCTAGAGTGGAAATGAGGGGGAGTCACAAAAGGGCTGACGACAGGAAGCGTTGCGACTTCAGTAGTAGCACAGATTTTGTTTTGAACATCAATGAGTGCTGAATGTCAGCATTTCCCTTACGTGTAAGGTAACTACATACCACACACTAACATATGCTACAACGGTTGTATGCCCATAACTAGTAACAGTATACAGACAGACAAAATATTTGAGTGTATATAGTACATGCACCGTCCTCTTGGCATGTGAACACACAAGGTCGACGTGTTACAGTGAGAAATATACAGTGTGTACACTCGCTAATGATGATACCACTAGCCACAGAGGAGTGCACAGATGATGGCATGATTAGTCTACCAATGTTTACAACAGTAGTCGGGAGACGAGCTGATTCACTGGTACAGAATATAAACAGAGCAAGGGCAGCATGAGGAATTACGCTTGAATGTTCTGCATCCGCTCTTTGTCGATCAGTCTTTTCAGTCAGTCTGGAGAGGTCAGACTTTTAGGAGTCAGTGAATTTTAGCAGTTAGGGGAGCCGAAAGGGACACTAGTACAGTAGAAAGCATTCAACTGGGTCATGCATTGCACAATTTCCTCCAAAAGGAGGTCTCAAAACAGTAGACACATCAGGAGAGAAAAGAAAATCCAGCTTTTGGCCTTTTCCTTCTCAGTGAAAGTCACATGCTCTTCTCTCACAGTAACAAAACAAACAAAAACATTACCTCCTTTCTGTAACATTTGATTTAAAAACTAATACCAAAACTCCATTTAGTGCAATAGCGAAAACTCTACCAGTGATGTTACGTAATGTCACGGGTAGTTTCCTCACTGTCTCTGGTGATACTACCAGCAAACTACGTCCTTCCTGAAGGAGGCAGCAACAGTCAATCAAGTTCAATCAGGTCTGGAGTTCCCCTGGGAAGCAAGTTAGAAATCCAAGGTCCTCATGTGCAGAACAGATAACAGGCTGAGAGATTACCATCAAGCAGGGCTTAAACCAAGAGGACATCGATTTTACTACATGTGGCCGTAAAGCGAAGCTAGTGTTCGGATAGATCACATCAGGTCATCTTTATCAGCAGGTAGCCATCTGTAGTGGGTATGTCTAGGAAGTCATTCTCTTTTTCAGATTTAAGCATTTGCTCAAGTTCAGGCATTTGGATTCATAAATGTCAAAGCTCCTTAGGTCCTCTGGCTTGGTAAGGTTACGTCTCAGGTCTGGACGTCTGACGGTTCAGCATTCAGGAGCCCCCCTACTTTCAATAGGGGCAGGGCGGCGTGCCCCACCTTCCCCAGGTAGCGAGATAAGGGCGAAGTAGCGCCACCGAGGGAGCAACAACAACCCCATGCTGTAGCCTCTTCTGGGCCGGTGGGGCAGGGAGGGGGAGGTGGGGAAGGGAGGAGGGATGAAGACGGGGCAGGGCTGTGGGTTAAGACCGTGTCATAGCCCGGGGATAGAATCAGGGATGTGCTTGAATGTTTGTATGGAGAACGGGGGAAATGGGGAAGATGCGAGCCCCGAGGGGGAATGGGTGATGTGTGTGTGTCAGAGTATGTGAGCAAGGTGGGTTCTGAGGCTACAGTCAGGAGCATGTTAGACGTAAGAGATGGTATCAGGTGTTTGCTGCTGTGTAAATGTAACAGAGGAGAACTGTGTGATGAATGTCCTCTGAAGGGATTATAAAGGTTAGTGTTCTCATCGAGGTAACTCCTCCTTGGCTCTTGTGTGTGCGGCAGTGTAAAATCCGGTTGGCCTGGTGTGTTTGAGCAGCTGTGTGATGAGAACAGATCAGGGGGTTTGGGAAAATCAAGCAAAGACGTGTCAGAGTTTAAAGTGGATGAGGATGGGGAGAGCGTTGAAAGGTTTGGATCCCTGTCTAAATATGGGTCTGCGTTTGGGCAGGGCGGTAGGCAGGTAGCTGTCTGGAGCTGTGCAGCTGGGGCAGCAGACCCACTGGAGGAGGCAGGGGCCATGTATGTGGGTGCTGGGCCTCCTTTGTAAGAGCAGGCTGAGATGGCAGTGAGGGATGTGGAGATGGTTTTGGAAGGGTCAGCGGTTGGAGCGACGGGGGAGGCAAGGGCGGGGAAGGAGGGGGTGGGGGGCTCCTGAGCTCCTGTCAGAGACTTGTCCCGGAGGCACTGGAGTCGGGGAGGTAGGTTGTGACGACCCGGTAACCCTGGGCGCGGCGGATCATGTCGCGGATCTCCCCGTTGAGCTCCAGCAGCTTGGAGCAGATCAGGCTGAGGTCCTGGCGGGAACCGACCAGGGCGATGGTGCCGGTCTGGCCCAGCGTCTGGTGGCGAAAGTAGACATTGAGCAGTGTCTGGACCTCGCTCTCTGAGCTGCCACCAAACACGCCGGTGGGCCACTGCCTCCTGAAAAGCAGATAAAAAAGAAGGTGTGATGAGTCAGTGTGATCAGTGGACATAATGTGTGCATGTGAAGACTGTAGGTCCAATTACAACAGTTAGTGTTGCAGCTATATAAAGCAAATGTTTATCTTCAACAACGATTAAACACATAATTTGTCCAATAGTTTCTTACACTACTGAGCACTTGGGATGGATTGGGATGGGATGAAAAACCATTAAAGAGTAGTGGTTTCAATGCAGTCTAACTGATGTTTGATTGTTACTCACCTGCACTCCTGGATGTAGCGCACGGCTTTTGTGAACTCGTGGTTCTTAAGGCACTCCAGTATGGCCTGCACAGCCGCCTCCGAGGTTGGGAAGCTGGGCACAACCATGGCCGCCACCTGGGTTGCGTGTGCGTGAGTGTGGGTCAAGTGTTTGAGTTCTAGGTCGCTGGCTACAGCCGCCTCCGCTGCCTGCAGGCTGGTCTTCAGATCAGTGAGCTCCCGAGACATGTTCAGCAGCTTTGAGGTGGGAAGGAAACAGATGGCGGCTGAGTGGTGTTTGAGCTTTTAAAGTAATCACAGAAGGAATGTTTATTTGATCCAATACTCATGATTTACTTTAGAAGCTAGCAGCACGGAAAACGGTTTTCTTTAGGTCTTAATTTGGTGGCACCTTTACACACATGGATGTTAACATTTGAGTGGATTCATTATGTATCTTGTATTCAAGAAAATCTAATGTTGCACTCCTGATTGCTGCCAACCAACTTGTGCTTAAAGCTGTTATATAAAATTGTTTTGTTTTAAATATAATGCAGCTTCAACAGCGTTGGAACCTAATAAATGGTCAAGTCTGTAAAAGTGCATTTGCCCTTCATGGACCTATACAGTACGTTCTTTTTATTTGTCACTGTTAAATATCAGAATATGTATTACAGTTATATGCAGTATATCACAGAGATTTTATTAAACAGTATGGTGGTTGATAAGTAACAAGTGAGAAGAAATTGCATCACATAAATACAGTGTCCCTATTAAATTTGTTCACCAGTGAGCACTGACAAGTTTTTTTTTTGTTTTTAATTGAAGAATGTCCCACTCAGTACACAAAGCCAAATCTTAAGGATTCTCATCAAAAATGTTGATGTCATGTGTTTAAATATGAACGTCCAGATATCAGTATAGATTTAAAAATCCAGCATCAGTCAAGCTCTAATTCCTATCAATCAAATCAGCCAAGAATTGTTTAACCTGATGGATACCTTTACATTAAATGTTTAGCTGCAGACAGTATTTTAGACAATTGTTGCACTGAATTTGTAAATTATTGTTTTTCTTCTTCTTTCTCATCTAGTATTCACAGTGGGTCATGAGAGAAACACAATTTCAATCCTCTGTGTGCCTTGTGAATGGTAGATTTGACAATAAAGTTGACTTTGACTTTGTTAATCATGGAACATAATTCTTTCCACATCCAACTGTCAAGCAGAAAAACATCCACACCATTGGTGTTTAATCTATTTAATTTTGACTACAGATTACTTGCATAGTGAATCTTCTCACGTATGCCCAAGAGAACCAATAAAATAGCTTGCATTGTTAAAAGTGTAAATGATGTCTTTATGAAGTATGATTTGGCTCACCTCAGGCACAGAGCTGATGGCATGAACTTGACCAATGAGCATGCAGTACGACTGGAAGAGTAGGAGAAGCTGGAAGTGCAGCTTGTAGAGCCTCTGACAAAGCTCCAGTTGCTAGAAGATATTAAAGAAGAAACAGGGTCAGATTCATCAGAAGTAGAGAACAAACAAGACATAATAACAGTCACACGTTCTCAAAAGCACACACCACATATGCACACACATGCAAACACACAACAACACGACTAGCTTGTTG